CATTTTTTACGCATGAGTGACTTAAATGAATTTGAAGAGAGAAAAACAAAAAGTCATTTGGCGGACGGTATCTGAATTTCAAAGAGAAAATGACATTTCTAAAAAATGAGTTTCTGCCCTTTCATACGACACCTCAGTCAGGAAGAATGACCTAGGAATAACAAAGTGCTATTTGTTTAAAGTAGTGCTTGCATTTCCATAATTTGATTAAACGAATTCGTTTTCACTTGCTGTCTGCTGTAGCAACAAACGGAATTAACAAAAGACTTAACTCCGTTTCGTTGACAATCAGCTGTAGAAAAAAGACTTCATGCATGGCTGGTTGTCAACGAGACGGAGCTAAGTCTTTTGTTAATTATGTTTGTTGCTACGGCAGGGAGCCAGTAAAAACGAATCATCGATAGTTCTCGGTTTCGTTTTTTGGAGACGCAGTGTATAATCAAACTATCACATCCGCCATTTGCAATCATCATCATCAACTTCAGGTGGCGCTGTAAAGCGCTGCTGTAGTCTTCACGAGAGCACGCCATGCAACTCTTTCGCCTGTCATTTGTGTTGCACCTTGATATCATCAGTCCAAGATATTTGTGGACGACCTCAACCCCGTTTTCTTTCGACTGCTCCTTGCAGTATTTGCTTCTCAACACCTTCAGATCTCCTAACAATGTGCCCCAAAATAGTTTAGTTTTCTTTCCATGATTCCCCTTCCGATGGTCAAGTTTGTTACAATCTTTTCCAGGACCCACACATTTGTCTTTTTATCTTTCCATGACACCCGCGACAGCCTCCTGTAGCACCACATTTCAAAGGCACCAACTCTCTTTCTGTCATTCTGTGTCATGGCCCATGACTTACTCCCGTAAGTCGCAATAGAGAAAGAAGTTGCTTGAAGCAGACAAACCTTCAGACTGAGAGATAGGTCTCGGTTCTTCCAGATGTGAGACATATTCTGTACTGTTGATCTCGCCATTGCCATCCTTCTCCTTATCTCTGTGGTGCTCTCTCCTTTGTTAGTGATGATTGAACCCAAGTACTCAAACCGATTTACTACTTTAATCTTATTTTCAGCTACGGTGAAGTCAGTGTTATTATCATCTCTATCGACAACTATTATTTTTGTCTTTTTGGTGTTTAGAAGTTGGTCTGTCCCTTCACTTGCCTGTCTGATGCGATTCAACAAATCCATCAGCTCTTCTCTGCTGCTGGAAACGAGAGTAGTGTTGTCAGCATACCTTAGGTGCGTGATGTTTTTACCTCCAAATTTGACTCCCCCATTGAATCCTTCCAGAGCATTTCTCATAATGTCCTCAGAATAAATGTTAAAAAGGTTCGGAGACAGTATGCATCCTTGACGTACTCCCATACCAATTCCAAACCACTCAGTATTGCCGTTACTGGTTCTTATTGTTGCTTCTTGGTCATGATAGAGGTTTTTGATCATTTCGATGATGTGACTTGGGAACCACATCTTTGCCATTGTATTCCACAATTGAGAGTGGCTCACACAGTCAAATGCTTTGCTATAATCTATAAAGCACAAATGAGGGGATGTCTGTGTTCTCTGCATTTCTCTATTATGTTTCTAATGTTGACGATCTGTTCTCTTGTCCCTCTACCTTCACGGAACCCTGCTTGCTCATGTGAGATCTCGGCTTGCAGTTTGTTTTTCATTCTTCTGCTAATCACCTTAAGAAGTTTTTTGCTTGCATGACAAATCAAGCTGATCGTTCGGAGATTTGCACATTCTTTCAGATCTCCCTTCTTTTGCAATGGTATAAAAACAGCTGTACACCAGTCCTTAGGCCACTCCCTACTATTCCATATATTGCAACAGAGACGCCACATCAGGTCAGTACCTTCTTCACCTGTAGCCTTCCACATTTCGGAAGTCAAGTTGTAGAAGCCACGGGATTTGCCATATTTCAGTTGTTTCATTGCAAGCTCCACTTCTGATCTTAATGGAGGGGGCTCCATTTCATCACCTTCCTCCCACTGAGTGTCAACTTGTTCCTGCGCAGGAAACATGTCTTCATTTTCCGTCAATGTTTTGCCATTGTCATCATTAATTACATCCAGTCTTGGGATTTTTTTCTTTGTGATTTCTTTCACAATTGCAAATGCTGCCTTTGAGTTGTTCTTGTGACGCTCTAGGTCTTCACACTTCCCCTCGATGTATTTCCTTTTGTCCTCCTTCACACTACTTGTAACTGCCTTATGGAGTCTCGACCATTCTCCTCTATTGTGTTTTGCTTTTGCTCTCTTCCTGTCATCAGCAATGTCGAAAGTCTGATTTGAGATCCATGGTTGTTTCAGCTTTCTTTTCTTTGGAATGTGGTTCTTTGCTGCATTTTCAACTGTTTCTTTCATGTCTTCCCACAGCTCATTCGGTGTTTGCTCTGCTTCATCGTTTCTCAACAGCCGCTTAAACTTGTTCTTTACTTCCACTAAGAATTGAGAAGGGATATTTCAAACATCATACCTTGTGGGAGCTGAAACACATTTCTTAGCTTTCAGTCTTAGTCTCAGTTTAGCCACAAGCAGCTGATTATCAAAACACTACTCTAATTTGCAATATACCATACTATTTCCTTCTTTCGAAGGTGGTCCAGCCGTGATACTTATCATAACTGGAGGCGTAAAGCATCAAAGCTATGGCTATGAACAAAGGTGAGTATAATGTTATTTAAAAAACTCTTATTATTAATATATATGATAGTGCACGGAAATCAGTTACATTGTAATATCATAGTTCAAGTGTCAAATATTTGCAATGGTACCCACAATTAATGCAATGAATTTAAACTTTTGCATAATTGAAGTAAATGTTTTATCTTTATCAATCCGATTTAAAATACAGTTGCTGGCTGAATCCAACAGATGGGACAATCTGGGCATTCACCGGGCCAGCTATGGCAATCGTACTTGTAAGAAACTCGTAATTAATATTGTGCGATTTGTTTATTTGTTATTTTGAGGGTTTTAGTATGCAGTGTTTTATTTTATTTTTTTGATTTTGGTCTTACGGAAGCTTGGAAAGCCTGGATTTTAGTTTGATGTTCCTTTTCTGACGAGTTGGGTAATTTCCTCCAAAATACTGATATGAGAAGATAGAGTAGTGTTTTGCGCATTATCTTGTTGTTTGACACCACCTTTTATAATGGTTCAATTTTGCATTTTAAATTGTACAATAGCACCACTCTTAAACAAAGTCTACAATTTTCCTCTCAATTGAAACTAAGCAGCTCTTTCAATTCACAAGCTGCAACTTTTCAAAAATAAAAAATCTGCCGTATTTGGATATATACTACGTAAGATGCAAACGGTGGAAGTACTTCAAATGCGCACTTAAAAAAATGAGTTTACATTATGAAATAGAAGTTCACTGTTGCAAATGCTCGTTATATCTGTTTGATTGCAACTCCTATTGCTCAGTGAGTAAAGGAGATTTTTCAAAGGAAAATAGGCATATAAATCTTGTTAAGTTTCATATTTTATGCTTATCTTAAATGTTAAGACCTACGTTTTTATATCGTCGCATCGTGATATCTGAAAACATTTATTATCCTACGCATGATTGCCGGCAAAAAAAAAAACAAGTTAACGATCGACAATTCCTTATTACCGAAATGTCAATGTTTGAAGCTTGCCTTGTATCTGCGATAATATATATATATTGATTAGAATCTCATCATTAGCAGGAAAATTATCAAAAATGTATAATCAGGTGGGTTGTATATCGTACAGACCACCTTATAATTTCGTTAGAATTGCCTTTATTATTTATTTATTCTTTATTTTTCTTATTTCTAACCACTTTTTTGTGGACAAGATAACTTGAAAATGGCTCAATCACATGCCTTGAAATTTGGCACTCATATGTATAGATATATGTAAGGCACAATAACGTTTTCATTATTGGCCTTCACTGATGACGTCATCTAGGCGCCATTTTGTAAAATTTTCGGAAAATCAACTCATGATCATATCTTCATAATCAAAAGTTAATTCTCATTCATATTTATTATGATCAAGGTCAATATCCGTCCGTTAAATCTCAGGTCAAATTACGCGCGCATGCGCGTACGTCCACGCGTCGATGCGCGCGCAAAATCTTAAAATGCTCAAAATCGTCTCAAAATCACTTTGCATACGTTTCAGGCCATTCTAAGCATTTTATTAAAAATCGCGCACACGCGCATCCGTGCGCGTTTTCGCGAGTAAAACTATTGCACAACATAGAATCGCCATTCTTTTTCCTTTCATGATATTTCAGATATTTTCACAAACAAATTGATACCATGTTTGTCTCTTTATGACTATTCATAACGGAATGATCGACCGTTTAACATAAATATCCGTGCGCGCGAGCTCTTGTAATACATAGCATATATGTGCAAAAACATGCCTATACAAAATCCATTGTAGCTCTTTAGGATGCAAGGTGACCCCAACTCTTTTTTCATATTGTGATAGTATATAGATTGGAGATTTGATTTCATGTCTCATTTGTCCCTCAATTTTCTTATGACGTCATCATAATGGCCTCTGAACTCATAATTTCAATTTGCATATTATGACGTCAGCATATTTTTGGAAAATTAATTGTATCGCTGTAAATATTGATGGATTGTTTTCCAAATTTTGATATGTTCAGGCTGAGACAATTTTTTACAAATGCAGTAGTCACAATTTTTCATTTTGACAAAAGCATCATGGCGTATTTTAGCGATTAAAGGAGGCATGTCAATTTTTCACATTTTGCGTGCATTCTCTATAGGACATGATTTTTTCTCAAAACTGGATTCTACATTCCCGTCTTTCGCGAGCAATATCTCCGTCGTTTTAGTTTCGTTTACGCTGAACTTCAAGTATGTTGTAGCTGAGACAAGCTATCTCAAATTTCCCTTTTATTTTGTCTCAAATTTTAGTTACACCAGCCCACCTATACTTGTTTCAAACAAGTATTACAAATCTAGTTTATTTTACACTTCTAGGTCAACGTAGTTATTCTCCTACTGGTTGTAAAGACAGTTGTCTCTGCATCTCGAGGTCAACTTGACAACGATAAGATCAAGCAAATCAAGTAATAACCTAATTACTTTTTAAGAAATAGTTTCAATTACAATATGTTCTTGCTTTACCCTTTGTCTCGATTACGTATATGTTCAGAAAGTATTTTTTTTCGGAGTAAATCATAATAATAAGAAAATAAATAAAAACATTACTTATAAAGCTCTTACCACCGAAGTCTCTAAGCGCTATACACAAAATAGACTGATATACAATTACATCTTATACAAAACTAAAAATGCAAATGAACATACAAATTACAATACATATGGAATACACGTCAAAGTTAACAGAGTTAATTAATCATCGAACATTATGTACACTTACTTATAAATTTTTATTAACGCAGGTTTACGCCTCTATATTCAGTTCCAAATTCCTTCTTCATGTAAATTTTGTCAAATCATTTTGTGTTTATTCAGAGCTGATCTTTTGAGCCCTCCGTTTCTCCTCGTATTGCTTGATATACATTGGCTATTGACTCATTAATGGTTGAGGAATGTATGTGAGTGTGTATGTAGATTTCTGTGGCTTTGGAAGGGTGTGTGCGTGTTTGTGTGTGTATGTATGTATGTGCGCGTTTGTTTTGTGTTTGTGTGTGTGTGTATGTGCGTGTGCGCGCGTGTGTTTGTGTGCGTGGTTTTGGATAGTTGTGTGTGGGTTTGGATATGTGTGTGTGTGTTTGGGTTTGGATATAGTTCTGTGTGTGGGTATTTTGTCAGACTTGTGTATAGATTTGGATAGGTGCGTATGGGTTCCAATGTTTTTGTATATGTTTGTAAAAAATCACTGTGTAAATTCTCGTTGTCACTGCTTTGCAGAGCTGGACTTCGGAGCACTTTGTTGCTCTTCCCCCTGCTTGGTATCGCTTGGCTATTGACAACTGTAGTGGCAGTTTTCCCTCACGTCAAGGCGTTGGAATACACCTTCAACCTGCTCAATTCTCTTCAGGTATCTTCTAATATCAGTGCTAACCTGGCGTTGTAATCCAACACTATGATGTCAGTGTCATGATGATTTTATTTTTCAATGTAAACAAAATGGAAACTAAAAGAAAGAAAGAGAGGATGGGGCCGATGAAACGAAGATAATCCTACCTTTTCTTTAAAGAGAAAGTTGAGATTTTTGGCTCTGTAGAAGTGAAAAAAAATAATTTGAAATATTCAACATACCATTACACAATAAGGGAAAAACCATCAAATTCCTAATAACTAAATATATCATATCTTTGGACCAAAGTTTGATCCTACTAATTTCTGTAGTGCCGTACCATGTTTGTGTGCACTGATTATCCATCTGACAAGAATTTTTCGTTTGTTATTTTCGAAAAACCTCACAGGCAATCAACGCAGATTAGGTCCTAGATAATTTCTGCCTTCTTGATGTAATGGTCTGCTCAGTACTCAAATATGATTCTAACCATGCACGGGCATATGTGTCTTCAACATTTTTACTTGTATTTTTCAATTTTGTTTTACTACTACGAGACGTTCATATCTAAGTTTAGTGCTGTGCATGTATCGTACTAACGTAGATAATTTCTGTTGTATCCTTGCAGGGGTTCTTCGTCGCATGGCTCTATTGCTTTCTCAATTCGGAGGTATGTAATGAAATCATAGCTGGCATCAGACATTCAAAACAATTTTATTTCGGGGAATTTGCTCTGTAAAGAAGTAAAGATGGGCCTTATCGTGGAGAAAGGATAGCTATGATGCAACAGGCAAAAGTGTAAACCTTATGCCCCACAATATGCTGCTTGTAATTCGTGTTTAGTGTATAAAGCCAAGTTGTTTTTCTTACCTTATCTATGTTACTTTTGTATTTTTGCTTTTTCTTCTAATTTAATTCTACGGGTTATAGTCTTCTCTTAATCAGAACACTGTGCGCTTAGAAACATCAGTATTAAGCGCCTAATAAATGTTATGTATTATTATTATTATTATTAATTTCATCGTGGATTTTGTATTAGAAGTAGGCTATATAAAAAATAATATTCGAATATTGATCTCCCAACCGCCTATTTAAAGAAAGAAATTCTTCAAAACTGCGAGTGTCCGATAGTCCACAGTAAATATGTGCAACTCCTCGAAACAGGCAAGACAGACAGTGCTCACGATATGGCGCTTCCGATTTAGCCTTTAACATGAAATCAAACAGAAAGTCTCTATTATTGTGATTTTGTAATATTACAACAGGTTCGAAACGCCATCATAGAACATGTTCGCAAATCTCGTGAAAGCAGGGCTTCGATCACCAATCCCAGTACAGTTTCAACAACTGAAGTAAATGAAGTTTAATGTTACACTTTATCTAATTATGCAATAATTATATTTTTTTCTTTCTATTGCAATGATAGCATATATCTGCCCAGTGTTTTTGTACGCGCATGTGTGTAACCGCTCGATTCTGATTCGAACAAATCGCGCATCGAACATAATTTTTTTTTCGGGGGGGGGGGGGGCGTCTGTTATACGTGATGATGCTAGAAAGAGGGAAACAATACTGGGAAAATTTTAATCTGATTAATGTTTTTCATGAGCCTCAAAATGTTATCTTTCGCGTGAATTAGTGTGCTGGTATGAGAATCTTTGTTTTTACAGTGTTAACTGAAAATGCAAGAAAGAGTGGAAAAATATAGGGAAATTTAAAGTCTCATTAATCTTATTCATGAACCTCGAAATGTTATCTTTCGTATGAATTATTGTGCTGGTATGAGAATCTTTGTTAGTACAATGTTAAATGAAATGACACTGCCACATTGTCTTGTGGCACTTCTCTCATGAGTTTGTTGGGGCGAATGAATAACGACGTTTTGTATAGCAAAGATGTTTGTCAAGTGAAATGCTGCTCCCCGAATTGAATGTGTGAAAATTGGCATTGTATTGTTGATTCATATGAAAAAATATGTTGGCTATATTCAAATGTAAAATTGTTATATTCACAAACAAACGTGTGTGGAGGTGTCGTGTTCTTTTATAGTATTATTATTGTTTTATTATTCAGGATCTAATAATATGCATTTTTATTTTTATTGCAATCATATATGGTTACTTTCTACTTCTCTTCTTATTTTTTTTTGGCGGGGGTGGGGTGGATATTTCTTTGTTATTTTATTGATGTTATCTACCATTTTGTTTTGTTATCTACCATTTTGTTTTGTTATCTACCATTTTTGTTTTGTTATCTACCATCTTGTTTTGTCAGGGAAGTGCAGCTAAGCCTAGTATGAGGTTGATCCGAGTCGCTCCTGCTCCAGTAGGTCCAACACAAAACCAAGCCGGTGTCTCTAGTCACTCAACCTAAGGCCTAAGCAATAACACCACGTCCTTATAAGAGGTGCCCTAAATGAGTACCTCGAATACGTGATTGAGCATATGAAGGTTGCGGGTACTAGCTCCTACAAAGCAACGGTGTCCTCTTTAAAGACATTGATCTACATTTGTCACGCAACACCCGGATTTACTATATAAGTGTGTAGGCCTACCTAGAAGGATTTAAAAAAAAAAAAATTCACTGTGCGGTGATGATGGTTACTGGTGGCAATATTTCCAAAGTCTTTAGAAAGCGAATAAAGACACTGTATCAAAAAGTACAACATATTTGTTGCAATTAGTGTTATGCAGTAGTTGTTTGTACGGTAATCTTTTCATGATTTTGATTGGAGGTTTAATTATTTAGCCTTTTTATTCAGTTTGAGTTCTTTGATTAACTTTTTTCTTTTGAACTTGTTGTTTAATTCAATTTACAAGAGGTTGATGTAATAATTACGGTATGTTTTGTAATCATTTATTTGTCTACTATATATAAAATATTTCTGAGCCGAAGCTATAATTTTGATTTCATCATTGTTATGTCTCTGGAGTCTTTTTTTTTCTCCAGTCTATAAACATCTTCTGGATATTTTCAACGGAGTTTCTTTATAAATTGTTTGTATACTATAATATAAATTATTCTTTAATGTATTCGTTCTCCTAGTGTCTTTAATTACTCGCCTGAAGCCTACTTAGCACTTCCTTCATGGTTTCAGTTTACCTACTGGACATTTTATGCAATAGTTTTTAAGTCAGAATTAATTCCTCATGTTTATGTTTAGTATCGTGTCATGACCTAGTGTCTTAAAACAAAAAAAAATAAATAGAACAGTTGATTTCTTCCTTGTGCCTTGTCTTTGTTAGCTGTTTTTAATGAAATGCAATACATTCTATTACCTTCATGCTATATTTTGCAGGTCTTCTGGGTGCACCAGTTGGTCGGGAAGAGGAACCATTAGGTTACAGTGATTAAGTTTGCTTTCCTCTTCCCCGGCAGCCAACTGATACACTCAATAGACCTCCAGGAAGATTGTGCATTTATAATAGACATTCTCGTAATGTTTGTTTACTCATATTCACATCGTTATATTTCTTGTGAATTGCCGAATAAATAATAATAATAATAATAAAACGAGGAATCTTATTACCATGGCAATAAAACATTTGATATATAGTTTTATAGTTAGCTATGTAAAGCGATATTGATCTGAGAGTCGATGGTGTGGTGTTGTTTATGTTGTTGAGGTTAAATCGGATTATTAGGTGGTCTGTCGATGACAGATCACCTATTGATTTTGTTAGAATTTTCTTTCTTTAGTCTTTATTCTTTATTCTGTATTAGGTGGTCTGTCGATGACAGATCACCTATTGATTTCGTTAGAATTTTCTTTCTTTATTCTTTATTCTTTATTAGGTGGTCTGTCGATGACAGATCACCTATTGATTTCGTTAGAATTTTCTTTCTTTATTCTTTATTTATTTTTATTTCTTCTACACACTTTTTTGTGCACAAGTTTACTCGACATCGACAACGTCAATTTCCTTCGAAATTTCTGTCAGTCATCAGGCCCTATAATATCAAGTTCCTAAAACCTTTTTCAAGTTCATGGGGTTATCGTGACGTCATCCAGGCGCCATTTTGTAAAAATCAGGTCATTATTATATCTCAATAACGAGTCATCAAAAATCTACCATATTTGGTATACATCAAAATTTTATAATGCTCTGATTCGTTTAACATTAATTTTGCATACGTTTCAGGCCATTTTAAGCATTTTGCAAAAAAAACGCGCACACGCACATGCGTGAGCGTTTTCGCGCGTACTTGCATTTTGCAACATAGATTCGCAAAATTTTCTCTGTCATCATATTTGGCACATTTTTTCAAGCATTTTGATACCTTGTTTACCTTTTTCTGACCATTAATAACGCAATGAGCGTCCGTTAAGATACGCATCCGTGCGTGCGAGCTCTTGTAATACATAACATACATGTGCAAAAACATGCCTATACAAAATTCAATGTAACTTTTCAGAATGGATAGATACCCCACAATTTTCTTTCATATTTAGATAGATTATGAGTCGGAGATATGATTTCATGTCTCATTTGACCCTCAATTAACTAATGACGTCATCATAATGGCCTCCGAACTCAAAATATCAATTTGCACATTATGACGTCAGCAGATTTTTGGAAAATTGATTGTATGTCTGTAAATTTTGATCAATTTTCTTTCAAATCTTGACATGTTCTACCTGAGAATATTTTCTACAAAGTAGTTTCCACGATATTTCATTTTGACAATGGTATCATGGCGTAATTTTGCGATTAAAGGAGGCATGTCATTTTTTTACATTTTGCGTGTATTCTCTATGGGACATGACTTTTTCTCAAAACTGGATTCTACATTCTCGTCTTTCGTGAGCAATATCTCAGTCGTTTTATTTTTGTTTACGCTGAGCTGTGAGTATGTTGTAGCTGAGACAATAAGCTATCACAAGTGTGCCCTTTATTTTTCGGTCAGATGCCGGGATCATGCTCATATTTCACTTACAAAGTGGGATTTGAGAATTTCATTTTCCGTTTACGCGCACGTTTGTGTTCGTAATGGTTGTACGCAACCTAGAATCGCCTTTTTGTGTCTATCATAGTATTGCCCATTTTATTCCGAACAATTTGATACCATGTTTATCTCTTTATGACCATTAATAACGAAATGAGCGTCCGTTCAAGGTAAATTCCGTTCGAACACTCAATTAACTCATGACGTATTTATGATGGCCTCCGTTCAAGGTAAATGTCCGTGCGTGCGAGCTCTTGTAATACATAGCATATATGGACAAAAACATGCCTATACAAAATCCATTGTAGCTCTTTAGGATGGAAGATGACCCCAATATTATGACGTCATCATATTTTTTGAAAATTGATTGTATCTCTGTAAATATTGATCAATTTTCATCCAGATTTTGATATGTTTTAGCTGAGACAATTTTCTACAGATGCAGTATCCACCAATTTTCATTTTGATGAAAACATCAAGCCGTATTTATGCGATTAAAGGAGGCATGTCAATTTTTTACATTTTGCGTGTATTCTCTAGGGGACATGACTTTTTCTCAAAACTGGATTCTACATTCCCGTCTTTCACGAGCAATATCTCCGTCGTCTTAGCTTTGTTTTTGCTGAGCATCGAGTATGTTGTAGCTGAGACAATAAGCTATCATAAGTGTGCCATTTATTTCTCGATTAGATGCCAGGATTATGCTCATGTTTCACTTGCAAAGT